AGATAGATAGACAGATAGATAGATAGATAGATAGACAGATAGATAGATAGATAGATAGACAGATAGATAGATAGATAGATAGACAGATAGATAGATAGATAGATACTACAAATTAATAAAAACAGAATTGCAGCTCCAAAAATATTAATCTGTGATAGCAAATAACTCCAATAAATGATGCATTTATAAAAAATAAAAAATAAACTACTTTTTAATAATAGTACTTTTATGTTTCATTTTCAAAAACTAATCATATTCGAAAAATGGATTACATTTTTTAGAAATTTTCTAAATATTAATTTTTCCATTTAGGTAGTTGTTTATCTAAAGTGACTTTACAGTAACAACCAAGGCAACCTGATGCCTTATGATAGGCTAAGTTATATAAATAAAATTATAAAAAAATAAAATAAAACATTACTGAAACAGAACTTAAACATATTAATAATATTATTTTTTATTTTATTATTGTTAGAAATCATTAACAACGGTCCCTCTAGATTCTCTTTGCCACCTCAGATATTCTCAATCCCTCAAAGTGGATATAACGGCCGGGAAGTAAGAAAACACACATTCATATGTATTCTCAATACTTCAACTTTATTCATAGATACAAAGATATTATATAGGCATATGTCGAGGGGAGTTTCAACCCTTTAACCAATGAGGATATAGATGACATACATATAGGATCTTTGGCCAAGAATATGTGTTTATATAAAATGGCCATATGAACAGAAAAACATGGACATATTAGGAATAGACTTTTGCGAAGGAGGCTAAACTATCTTCATGGTTTCATCACAAACCTCATTCCTAGCTATCATGTCCTTATTTAGACATTTGAATAAGAAAAGCTAATGTATACATTTGCGCAGAGAGTGTTTTCTAACAATTATAGGTATAATATTTTATTTATTATTTTAAAATGTAATAATGTTCAAAAAAAGAAGAAAAGAAAAAAAGAAAAAAGAATAAAGTACAAAATTTTTTTTTTTTTTTACATACAAATATTGTGTTCATGTATTTTTAAGTTTCGGTCTGTACGAACATTTTCATCTCAAAAGCTCACACTTGTAGGTAAATAATGATAGTGTTTCGTGATGTGGCACCGCTGACGTCATTTCGACCGCGTTGGAGCAGAAGTGTGACGTGACCCAGCAACAGTTGCGCTCAAACTGCTGGACAAACCTCACTTTCAGCTGGACACAGAGAAGAAAGAGGAGAAGAAGACAGAAGAAAGAGTGATTCTGACTCTGCTGATGTGAGCTGGAGTTCGAGCAGGTTGATATTTAACGGAGGTTGATCTGAAAGCTGCTGTGCTAAAGCGCTAGCTCTTAGTTTAACTCCTCGAATAAGTTTGACTTTTACACCTTTTCTTGTTTTTTTGAGCCGCTTTTAACATGGGTTTGACCATTTCAAGCGTCTTTTCTCGCTTGTTTGGGAAAAAGCAGATGAGAATTCTCATGGGTGAGTTAGCATTGATAAATGGCTATTTTGTGTATATTTTGTTGTCATTTTACATTAAATTATGTGTTTATAGCTCTTTCTATACAAGTCATGTATGAATGCTCTTATGATCTATAGATGTTGACATGAATTCAGTAAAGCAGTCGCTTGTCGCTGTAGAGAGTTTCTTTGTTGTTTCCCAAGAAATAGGAAGGTATTTATGCAAACTAAAGTTTTCCAGTGTGTTTGACTTGATTTGATTCCTGTTCTTCTTCAGTTGGTCTGGATGCAGCAGGGAAAACCACAATCCTCTACAAACTCAAACTGGGAGAAATAGTCACAACAATACCAACTATAGGTAAGTAATATAAGATAAGTATGAAATTTGTTTCCGCCAAAACTGTAATTACGACTTTTTGTCTCACAATTCTGTCTTTTTCTTGCAAGAATTGCGAGATATAAATGTATTTATTGATTTTTATTCTGTGGCACAAACATACAGCATTGTGAGTTCCAAATAAAATTCTGAGGGGAAAAAATTCAGAATTGTGAGAAAAATGTCAGAATTGTCAGGTTGAGTGTTTTACTTTTACTTTTAGTCATTTAGCAGACGCTTTTATCCAAAGCGACTTACAAATAAGAAAAAGTAATTTAAAACTAAAAGCTAAAACTCTATAAATACTATATATATACACATTTAAGAAAATAAAAGAAATTAAATAAAAATGACAAATGCATACAACAACATTTCAAAACTAAAACATTTAAATGAAAACAAAAAAAATAAAGCTAAAAACAATTCAAAATATTAAAAGAACAAAAGGTATGAGTATGATTCTAACATAACACTAAGCCAAACACCAAAAAAACAACTACATATGTGTATGTACAGCCACACACATATACATATACATGTACATATATATAAATACATTCAATATATATATATATATTATTTCATTTCCATTTTGTATGTTGGAAGTACTGAAATAACTTAATAAATAAAGTTATAAAATAAAACTTAATAAAAAACCTATAGACATAATAAAAAACTAATAAAATGACAACATTACAACTGTAACTAAAACTAAAATAGATAACTAATACAAATCAAAGTACATTAGTTTATCAGTAATCCTAAAAAAATAACACTGAGCCAAACACACATGCTAAAATAACAACAACTTACTGACACATAGTAAGAAATGGTTATAAAAAACTGAAACAGAAGTGAAACAAGTGGTAGGAAAGAGGAGAAATAAAAAGCGATACTTATTTTTCCCTCAGAATTGCGAGAAAAAATGTCTGCATTGTGAGACAAGAAGTCGCAATTATAATTTTTATTGACAGAAACAAAAACAGAATTGTGAGATGCAAACAGACTTCTGAGGAAAAAAGTTAGAATTGCAAAATATAAACTTAAACTTGTGAGGGAAAAAAAGCCAGAATATATATATCTTGAAATTCTGACTTCGTAATTGCGATTAAAAAAAATCCTAATTGCAATTACCTTCTTATTATGTTTTTTTTATCCTGTGGCAGAAGTGGGCTAACAAATCATGTACATCTCAACAAAGAGAGAATATATGCTTAAAATGACAATATTCAGATACTCTATGGATTTTAGGTTATAGTAAGTATATTTTTAATGGACAGATATTCTCACAAATGCATATATAGGTCATTTTTTTAGTTTAAAATCAAATATTTACCTTCGAAAATGTATTTTGCATAAAGAAAATGAATAATTTTTTTGATTTTCATGACCCGTACGTGCACCTGACAGGTTTTGTGAATGATTTATTACACGAATCTCATCTTGATGTGAACAACTGCAAAGATGTGCATCTCTTAAATGACATCGCACCCAACCCTGTGTGCTTCCTTTAGGTTTTAATGTCGAGACGGTGGAATACAAGAACATTTGCTTCACCGTGTGGGATGTGGGTGGTCAGGATAAGATCAGGCCTCTTTGGAGACACTACTTCCAGAATACCCAGGTAAACGGATGCAGGACTAAGATAGTCAAACAACAGTGGAGTCGCAGCATTCCAGCAGGATGAAATGCTCATTCTGCCATGGCTGAACTGATTGAGTTTGACCGTCCAGCCTTGTGAGCTGCTAGAAAAACAACTACGGGTGTGTAGGTATAGTTTGGCTGGATGCCGTGGATGTGCTTTGTATGAGGATGTTGGTGTTACTACTAGGATTACGTTGAACTGGAACGGCCTTTACTAGAGTTTGATTTAGAGAACAGAAAAGTTTCTCTTCTGTCCGTGTAGTTCTCTTTTTCTTTGCTGACATTTTTTTATCAATCAGCTCGTAAGAGAATATCTAACTTTTGCTTGCTCTTTATTTCCTGAATCGTTATGAGTGGATAATTTCTAAAAGATTGCAAAATAATTGTTTACAGAGGTCATAGAAACTCACTGACTGTGACATAAAATAAGAAATTTGACTTTCTTTGGTCTTTGGCCTCAAAACCAAACTGTCAGTCACTAGTCTAACTTGTGTCATGATAGTAAAACCTAATTTTTATTCATATAAATGCCTAAAAACATTATTATTCTGTGCAACAGATATTATAGTTTGCATGCTGTAAAATTAAATAGGTCATAAAATGAAGAATCAAATGTTTTAAGTGTTATATTTATAATAAGGAAGCAGGATAGATACAATTATTTCTAGTAAATGACAGAATTGTAATTTTTTGGTCAACTAGCTCTTTAAAAAATGTCTTAAATCGTGGTATTAAAGGGGTCATATGATGCGATTTCAATTTTTCCTTTCTCTTTGGAGTGTTACAAGCTCTTGGTGCATAAAGAAGATCTGTAAAGTTGCAAAGACTAAAGTCTCAAATCCAAAGAGATATTCTTTATAAAAGTTAAGAGTTACCCACACCTACCTAAAACGGCTTGTTCTAACACGCCCCCACATGTCTATGTCACAATGTGGGAAGATTTGCATAACACCGCCCAAATGTGCACGCAAAGAAAGAAAGCGTGGTTTCAGGAACAAAAAAGGCGGGGCATAGAGGAGAAACAATAATGTACAGTATGTGGAAAATAATGTTTTTTTTTTACTTTAAACCGCATAAACACATTTCATTACACCAAATACACAAAATATTGTTCTTTTTAGCAGCATCATATGACCCCTTTAAATGTTGCATACACAGAAAAAATGGGGGAAAAAAAAGAAAATTAAAATTTCCTCAGTATGTTTGTCTTGTTTTCCAATACAAATATCTAAACTTTCTTAAATCAAGATACTTTTACTTGAGACGTAAAATTAAGATATGAAGTCTTGTTTTCTTGGAAATTAAACAAAATTGAGTTTATACTTAAAACAAGAACGGATATCAAACAAATGAAAATTAGTTTTTTCTTTGAATTAAAGTGTATTTGTCTGACTCCATTGGCAGATATTTGTTCTTGTTTTAATCACAAATCTTGATCAGTTAAACCGAAAACAAGACTTGCATAATTTTGCTTTTCAGTGTATTTTGATTTCAGAATCTTTAGACATTTGCACTGAAAATCAAGACACAAATACCGAAGGAGCATTAGAAGGTACTGTAAAAGTTGTTTTCACGGTCTAGTAAAGTTTTTGTCTTATAAAGCTCTTAAAGTTTTATTTAAATTTACCTTCCAAAAAGCTGCAGAAGTCATGGAAATCTTTAAGAATAGAACTTGTGCTTAATATTTTTTGACTGAAAGTCATTTTCACTCTGAATGCAACGTGTTGTGTTGTTTCTTCAGGGTCTGATCTTTGTCGTGGACAGTAACGATCGTGAGCGAGCACAGGAAGCAGCAGAAGAGCTTCAGAAGATGGTGAGGAAACGAGATTAAAAACAGCTCTGGTTTTATCTGTGTACCTGCACTGAGTAAATACTAACAAACACGCTTCTTTTATTGTGCACAGTTGTCTATGTGTTTCAAACCGCCGTAAATATCTGCTCATATTCTGTCTGCAACAGCTTCAGGAGGATGAACTGAGAGACGCCATTCTACTGGTTTTTGCAAATAAACAAGATCTACCAAACGCCATGGCCATCAGCGAGATGACAGACAAACTCGGCCTGCAAGCACTCAGGAGCAGAACTGTGAGTTATGCAATTATATGCAATATTATGATAGTTATGCATAATGATAAGCTCCATTTAAAAAACATAGTAATATTGGTTTTTGGTTATTAAAATGTATACATGGCTCTAGATGTGTACATAAACCTGTAATTAATCATATTTTGGTCAGTATGTGCACTACTGGTCAAACATTTGGAATAAATAAAATTTTTAAAAAATGTTTTGGAACATCATGCTCACCACGGCTTCATTTATGAGAGCAAAAATATAGTAAAAACAGCAATATTGTGAAATATTATTACAAATTAAAATAGCTGTTTTCTATGTGAATATATGGTAAAAAAGTAATTTATTTCTGTGATCAAAGCTGAATTTTCAGCATCATTACTCCAGTCTTCAGTGTCACATGATCTTCAGAAATCATTCTAATATGCTGATTTACTGCTCAATTATTATTATTGGTGTTCAATTAATAATAATGGGTGTTATTAATATTTTTAATGTTGAGAACAGTTTTTGATGATTATTAGTTGTTGTTTTTTTGGGGGGAAAACTGATAAATTTTTTTGATGACTAGAAAGTTCAAAGGAACAGCATTTATTTGAAACATCTTTTGTAACATTATAAATGTCTTTACTTCCACTTCTGAACAATTTAATGTGTCTTTGCTGAATTAAATTAATTTCTTTTCTTGTGAATAATTAGTAGCATTTCACAGTTTACACATAAATGGATTACTTTTAACATTTATAATAACAAAAAATGTTTTCTGAGCAGCAAATCAGCATATTAGAATGATTTCTGAAGATCATGTGACACTGAAGACTGGCGTAATGATGCTGAAAATTCAGCTTTGATCACAAGGATAAATTACATTTGACTATATATTCAAATAGTAATAGTTATTCTAAGTATATAATATCTAACTATATTCAATAATTATTTTAAGTTGTAATATTAAACAATATCTGTTTTTACTGTTTTTTTTTATTTAATGAAATTAATGCAGCCTTGCTGAGCAGAAGAGACTTCTTTCAAAACATTTTAAAAATATATATTTTTTTTCATTCAGTTAAATGCATACTGTATCCGTCTATTGGTAAAAATGTTTATATTGTGCTTTTCATCAGTGGTATGTCCAGGCGACCTGTGCGACTCAAGGGACGGGTTTATACGAGGGATTAGACTGGCTTTCCGAGCAGCTCTCCAAACGCTAAACTGCACTTCCTGTCCAAGCAGGATGTGTGCTGTTCCAAAGGACATGATTAGCGGAGTTGATGCGGCACAGAAGCTGTTCATGTATCATTTTCAGTTGATCGCTACCAAAAATCTGCTTGCTGCTGATGTCAATCTTCAGCAGTGCATTTTAACATTTTGTTCCTTTTTTAGTTCATTGCACCTTTGACCTCGACTGACATTTCTCCCAGATTCATTCCACTTGATGTGTGTAGCCTTATAGTCTTCTGTAGATCTGACCACAGTATGAAAAATACTAGATTTGTTAAGAAGCTCTTGCAGTACTTCTGGGTTCTTGTTACAGTAAGCATAAACATCAAGCATTGTGTTAATAACGATAACTTTTGTGTATTTATAAAAATGCTCTATTTTTGCTCCCTCAACTTGATTTATTCCATTATTTTCATTCCGAACGGCTCATTCCCAGGCGTTTGCATGCCATACATCCAAGGAAATGTTCTCAGAGAAGCATGCATTTAATAAATAAAAGATTATTCTTATAGTAGCACACTTAAGAGACTGGCAATGCATTGATGTAAGCATTAGTTTTAATGCTTCTAAAATGCATGAGTTTATATTGGGAACTAGTCAGATGTTTGTGTTGTAAATAAGCAGCCTTTTTATGTACGTAATCACAGTTGCCTTAAACGTGCTGTGCTTTACTATGTGAATGCACTCGCCCGATACGCTTTTGATTTAACATTTAAGTTGAGAACAAATCAGTGCAAATGTTAAAAGACATAATCAACTGTTTTTTTCCCCAGCTTTTGAAAATATTCAAATGGACTGGTGCAAGGAGTCGTCTAGCTGTTCCCTTTTTAAAAAAATGTATTAAAACATTATGAATAAAGAGTGAAGCAAATAAAAGTCTGAAATGCATCACTTGTATGGGTGTGGATTAACTAAGGCTCACGAAAGAAATTCACTCATTATTTAATGCTTTAAAGGGTCATGAATCATTTTTTGAGATTTTAAGAGTTATACATACAGGTTGCACATTGCTGAAAACTGATGGTATTCGTGTTTATTAAAGAAATATTTCACCCAAAAATGAAAATGTGCTCACCCTAAGGCCATCCAGAATGTAGATGAGTTTGTTTCTTCATCAGATTTGGAGAAATATAGCATTGCATCACTTGCTCAGCAATGGATGCTCTGCAGTGAATGGGTGCCGTCAGAATGAGAGTCCAAACAGCTGATAAAAACATCACAATAATCCACAAGTAATCCACAGCACTCCAGTCCATCAATAAATGTCTTGTGAAGCTGAATGATTTAAACAAATCCATCATTAATGCATTTGAAATTTAAACACCGTTGCTTCCAGCTAAAATTAGTCCATAATCCATAACGCTTCCTCCAGTGAAAAAGTTGTCTTGTCTGAATCAGGAGAGAAATCTGCACAAACCAAGCACCATTTACAAGCAAAAACAGTTCTGAACAAGTATGTTGATGGATTTTGATGCGAGACAACAAGAGATGGACTTTTTCACTGGAGGATGTGTTATAATGGATTATGGACTCATTTTAGCTGGAAGCAACAGTTTAAATTTCACATGCATTAATGATGGATTTGTTTCAAGCATGCAGCTTTTCACTTCTCCAGATGTTAACTGATGGACTGGAGTGGCGTGGATTATTGTAATGTTTTTATCAGCTGTTTGGACTCATTTTGACGGCACCCATTCACTGCAGAGGATCTGTTGGTGAGCAAGTGATGGAATACGAGCTACATTTCTCCAAATCTAATGAAGAAACAAACTCATCTACATCTTGGATGAACTATTCCTTAAAGGGGAAACTGGTTATTTCCATTCACTCTTCTGGTTTGAAAAGCAGAGTTAAAGCAACATCACAAAATGCTGAATGAATTTAAATGCAAAGAATTTAAACAGTCGCATATTGTAAATACAACATTCAATATTTCCAAGTAGGTGTCAATTCTGGCATTTGATAAATATCACACAATAACTCATCCTCATCATACATTTTAATTTGCACAAATGAGAATGAAGCTATGTGATAAATATAAGCACAATGCTGAAATCTGATCATTAAAAAGCTAAAATTGCTTTTGATGAAATACGAACTGTTTGTGATTGTTTCACTTCCACTTGAGGTCACACACCAGCGCGATGTGATCTGACGGGTGCGAGACGCTCGGCAGGGCCACGCAGGTCGTGACCTCCTGAAGGCTGGGCAGAGGAATCACCTGCTCCACCTGCAGCACATGCGGCTCCACAAAAATATAGTCCAGACACCCCTGGAAGCCTCCGACGTAGTTGGTGAAAGCTGGGACCCCACAAGCACTGGCCAGCTGGAACGGGTTCATCAGTCCCACCTGGATCTGCTCTTCTGGTCCATTAGAGGCCCAGTCGTCATGATTCTCCGAGACGGATCCCTCACAGACGAGCTGGAAGAGACCGGAGGAGGGCGTGCTGTTGAAATCACCCGAGAATATGAGTCCGGCTCCGGGATGCTTCTCCGTCACCATCTGCTTCATGTGTTTGAGGGCCACTGCAATCTGAACCAGTCGAACGTTTCCCCCTGAACACACAGCAGACCGTCAGAAACTGTAAAGCATACGTCATTATATTCACACTGATTCTCACCTTTAGGGTGCCAGTACAGGTGTGTGTTTCCCACACATAATATCCTTGACGGGTCACATAACGACTGCAAGACGGTCACCTGAGAAATGGGGGTAGAGATGCATTTTTGTTAGTTTTCCTCAAAGCAAGATGATTTAAAATTATTTAAACTATTAAAATGAGCCATAAAACTACAAATATTTTGTTTTAATTGAAGAAAATAATTAAGAGGAAAAGTGTAAAAAAAAAAAAAAAAAAAAGTTTTAATTAAAAAAAAAAAAAATCAACAATGTATAGGTACATTTAAATCTTAAAAGTATATTTTTAATTATATAATAATAAAAAAAAAAAAAAAAAAGTTTTGATTAAAATAAAAAGATATGACTTAAAATTATTTAAAGGCATCGATTAAAATAAGCCAAAACAACTAAAAATCTAGATATTTTTTATTTTGACGAAAGAAATACTAGAAAAATAGAAAAAGCTGTGTAAAAAAAAAAAAAAGAGTAAGATAAATAAAAAATTACATTAAAATAAATAAGACATTTAAATGGTTGAAAGACAAAACAAAGAATAAAAAAATCAAGATATTTCTTATTTTAATTCAAGACAATATTGATTAGAAATAATTAGAGAAAATGTGTAAAAAATAAATAGATAAAAATAAGATTAAGATAAATAAAAATGAAATTAAATAATAATTAATATGTAAGATATGTAATAAATAAGATATGATTTTAAATGATTTCAAGTAAGACAAAACAAGGAATACATCAAATCAAAACAACTAAAAAGAAAAATCTATATTTTTTTAATTCAAGAAAATATTTATAAAAAAATAATTAGAAAAACTGTAAAAAAAAAAAATGTAGATAAAAGTAAGATCAAGAAAACAAGTTACATTAAAATAAATGATTCAAAATATTTAAAGTAAAACAAAGCAATGATTAAAACAAGGCAAAAATCTAAATATTTCTTAAACAAAACAGGATTTCCAGTCTTGAAAATCCTAGCTATATGAGGTATTTGTGGTTAAGATTTGTGGTATATGAGGTTAAAAATGTGATTTTTAGATCTGGAAAAAATGGAAATTGTAATGTTGTAGTGTGTGTGTGTGTGTGTATATATATATATATATATATATATATACAGTGGGTACGGAAAGTATTCAGACCCCCTTAAATTTTTCACTCTTTGTTATATTGCAGCCATTTGCTAAAATCATTTAAGTTAATTTTTTTTCCTCATTAATGAATGCAAAAACAACTGGATAAGTCTTGAGGCCTTTGTGAACATCTGGATGTCCTGGAGTCAAAAAGACCCAAGTTCCAGCGAAATACCTGCAGCATCGTTGACCTGCTTTCGATCTTCTCCTTCAAGCTGGGATTGCTGCACACCTTCTCCAGCAGCTCCCGATGAAGAGCATCTGCCATCAGAGCCTCGCTCAGCATCACATCATACTGCTGGAGCAACTTCAGCTTAGACCTCCTAAAATACGTGGCCAGACCTTCGTGCTGCCTTTCCTTGATCCTGAAAACCCCTTCCAACCCAAACGCATCCAACGCAGGAGATAAACTATCGACAAAAGCGCCTTTATCCACCTCCTGGAGGCAAACGATGTCCGCGTTGTACCCCGACAGCTCCTTCTTGATCAGATTCTGCCTGTAGTCCATTTCTAAAGCGTACGGCGCACAATAAGGGTACAGGACTGTTTTGGAAAGCTCGGTTTGAGCGTAGATGTCAGCTAGGATGTTATAAGACACAACCCTCAGTGAAGACTCATCTGTGGCCTCCTGAGTGAACATGTGTCTGTTATCAAAGCTGCATGCTCCTGGACCGGCTTCGACTACACCTGAAGATACCAGTTCCTTAGGTTCCCCAAACCTGGATCCGTTCCCAGGTGTGCATTTGAACATCACCCTCAAACCGATGTCCAGATTGGATGGCGTGAACACACGTTCACATCCAGCCTCCATCCAGCAGTCTTGCTCTCCACTCATATGTGCTTTAGGAGAGCTTTCCTTGAACCATCTGAACTCAGAGTCCCTCAGCTCTCCGAACTCCATCTCCAGCTTGGGACAAACCGGAAATCCGGCCATTAGAGATGTCGGGAGCTCACACACAGTGAATGTCGGAGGATTCAGCTGCACTTTATACTTCAAGCCCCCCACATGCAGCACAGCTCCGTCCTGCCACGCGCGCGCGTTCACGGTGTCCTCGGGCACGCGCGTCTCGTTCACGCGCAGGCTGATCTCTGGTTCACGCGCTTCTGGAGTCTCGCTCTTTCCTTCGTTCGGTTTGGATTTCTTCGCTTTGTTTTGTGCCTTGATGAGGCTGTTGGCTATGCGAGCCAGGGCTTTCCCCAGCGGCTCCGTCTGCTCTCTCAGCATCTGTTTATTGCTGCCGTCCAGATTGAACGAGATGGTCAGTTTGGACTCGCGCGGCACACATCTCACCACACATCTCTCCATATTCGTATTAAACCGGGCGCTGAAGAGGTTTCTGTGGGTTAGGATTGAAGAAGGGGGGATGTAACTGAAAAATAGTTTAGTTGAGAGTGACAGTCGGTTCAACATGAGCGCGGAGAAGAGAAACATCCGGTGACTGACTGACTTCTTCTTCTTCTTTCCAGTTTAACGGCGGTTGGCATCCAGCTTATTGGTGCATTACCGCCCCCTTCTGCTCCGGAGTGTGGATCAGATAATAGGTTATCTATTCCCTTTTCCTACTAAAACTTACACATCACTCACATTGCCCCCTCACATTAATATCCACACACACATCACACATCAAATTCTGCCTAAAACCCCTGATTCCCTTAAAAAAGTAATGAATATTCTACTTTGTGCCCTATTTACTGTGCTTAGTAACCCTTGTAACTGATTACTTTTGATTACTTTTTGATTACTTTTCTAAATTTCTAATGAATGTTTATTTGCAACTGTTAATCATTTTCAAACATTTACACCATGCAGGGTTAACCTTACAATAGTGCTCAGACTTTCAAAATCCTTCCTCACTTGAATTAAGATGATCAAATTTGAACACATCCACCAAAATCAGACTTTAGTACCGCCTTTTACTTTAAGATTGATCTGAAGTTCAATGCAGATTAGGAAACACTGCATCTAACAATGGTTTCGGAAAATAATCGCTTTAGTACATTCGGCAGGTATACAATAATAATATTAAAATAGCGGGCCAAATCGGCTGCCGGGAATTGTCCCGGTTCTCACGATGGCCAGTCCGCGCCTGATTTCCACAGACACGCAGAACGTGCAGGACTCATATAGTCTTTTTGCGGCTTAATATTCATAGACACTAGTCCATATCGCGTTTTGATTCAAGTGTACTGACCTACTTTTGATTTATTCGTCCAAAATGTGGCATATTCCGTCCGCGTTAGGCTATAGGAATTCCGTTTTTATGACTGGATTCTACGAACCAGTCTGTGTTTTCCGCATCGCGGAAATTCGGATATTATAGGGCCGTATGTCTCAGAGTAGTCAGTGCAATTTGGGGAAAATTTCAATTAAATCTGTATGTGGATGTGTGTAAATATTCAAATGTAATCCCCTTTGTAATCGTTAACATTTTCATAAGTAACTGTAATTTAATTACACATTTTTTTCTTAGTAACTGTAACTGATTACAGTTACATTTATTTTGTAATTAAATTACGTAACGCCGTTACATGTAACTAGTTACTCCCCAACACTGCTTACAAGTCATGTCGTCTTCTTCTTCTTCTTGTTTTATGGCGAATAACTCCTTAGGAGCATTATCGCCACCTACTGTACTGGATGTCAAGTAAACTTTCATAGGTGATGAGTCTGAAATTTGAATCCGGTGACTTCCGCGATCGAAACGAGTTTTTTATTCAGAACACCAGATTCGACATATTTATTGTGAATTACGTATAAACGGATATTATGATTTTTTTTTTCAGTTTAATTTAATCTTGATTAAATTCTTTTTATTATATTAGTAAACTGAAGGCGCTGAAGTTTCCTTGAAAAGGATTTTAACGAAAACGCTGATCTCAATATAAAGGGTACCGCATTGTTCGGAGATCTAAATTTATAAGCTGTTTTGTTTATTTTATGTTCCTTTTAATAAATACTTTATGGTGTTATAAAGTTATTATTACAACATTTGCGTGGTATTCTGTAAGCCAGGGGTTTTCTGGGGGAGAATGGTGTAAGTGAATTATAGAACATACGAGTATGTGATTATATTAATATGATTACATACACTCTAAAAAATGCTGGGTTAAATATAACCCAGCGCTGGGTTATATGTAACCCTGTGGCGACTTATGTTTAGACATGTGACAGAATTCACATATGGTGCTTGTAAGGTTTTCCCCTTTAAGAATGTTGGTTAGCGGCAGTGTGTTTTCCCCTTTAAGAGATCAAAGTTTTGGTCTAGTGGGTTGTTCGGAAAATAAAGTTAGCCAGTTCACGGCTTCTGTCATCGACGTCTCATGCTGTACACAAGTTGACTTATTGTCTGCTGAGGCATAGCATTCCACTCTTCTTGAAGGGCTGCCCTCAGGGTTACGACCCTCTACATGACGACTCAGCTGATCCCATAGGTTCTCTATGGGATTCAGGTCTGGAGAAAGTGCAGGCCACTACATTTGAGGTACCCCAGCCTCCAGCAGCCGTTCCCTGATAATGCGACCTCGATGAGCTGGGGCATTGTCGTCCATGAAGATGAAATCAGGCCTGTGCTGCTCATGCAGAGGCACAGTGGATTAATGATGTTGTTCAGGTAGTATTGGCTTGTCACAGTACCATTCACAAGGTGTAGGGCAGTTCTGTATTGACTAGAAACACCTGCCCAGACTGTAACACCAGACAACAGTGGCTGATGCATAGAATTCTCCTTGACGTCTCCAACAGCGTTGGCGGCCGTCATTTCTGCTCATTGTGAAGCGACTTTCATCAGAGAACAGCACTGAGGCCCACTGGTTCCTCGTCCAGCGCAAATGCTCCCTGACGATGAAGCCTGTGCCTGGTGGTGTGGTCAGGTACCCTTGCAGGTCGTCTAGCACGCAGACCATGCTGATGGAAGCGGTTTCGAATGGTCTGACATGACACTCGGGTGCCTCTCACTTCCCTTAAACATGCCCGGAGTTGAGTGGCATTCATAATCCGGCTCCACAGGACACTGTTCACAATGAAGCAGTCATCAGCATGTGGCCAAAGGACGTCCACTTCTATGCCTTTCTGTGACTCTTCCAGTCTCTCTGTGTCTCTGTTGCAACCTGCTGATGACACTTTAAGCTCAGTGGCAACTTCCCTCTGAGAACATCCCGTCTGAAGCCTCGCACTGGCCAGGTACTGTTGATCAATTGTTAGGTGTGGTCTTGGTCTCATGATGTCAAAATGTGAACAGCATGATGAAGAGGACCGTTTAAATACAAATTGTCATTGAACCAGAACATTTAGTGGTCGATTCATGGATCAGACACTTGTGATTTTTGCGGTTAATCACCTCGTTAGAGAACAACATGTTATGCAATAAGTACTGAAACATTTAACAGTTGGACATGTGCATTCAAAAGTTTAGAGAAGGTCAAATTACGTTCACCTGAGGTCATAGTGCATTTTAGGTGCATTCTGAAATTTCACCCGAAAGTCGAATATCCCTAATACATATATATATATAATACATATATATATCAGAATTGTGTTTAAATAATTTTATCTTATTTTATTTTTAAGTATAAATTGTGTAAATTGTGGGTGTTTATACAAGAAACTACATAGATGCCTTTCAATTTTTTAAATAAATGTTAAAAATATTAAAAAGCCCTGCTCTAAGTAAGATATTGTAGAATTTTAGAAATGCCACTAGGTGGCGCTGTTCGCAAATGGTTGATTCCTTTAGAGCTCATAGTTTGTCGAAGGAGCATCTCATTGTTATAATAAACTGTATTTGATAAATGTGCATTTGCTGCATGTACTTTTAGTCTACCTAATATAAATGAATTAAATTGGAAACAGTGAACAAAATAATTTTGCAACATAACTGTGCTGCTGGTTTTATTGAACTCAACTGAGAGGACCATAATAATAATCATCAAACATGAATACATCATAGCCCATTTCACATCTCTCCATTTTATCTGCATAAATGTCCGCTGAACAAAGTTAAGCTATTAATATGTTCCCAAATACATGTGTACATGAAAAAAAAAAACATTCTCCCTTATTTAGCACATTATGATTATTACCAATATACAGTACATGGTACAAAGCAAACCATCTGATTATTCTGGTTCAGAAATGTCTCTAGCCACTGGCATGCTGCATGTTCACTACAACAAACCTCATTGTTCAGTCGTCGATTAGAAATCCAAGTAATAAGAAGCCGCTCTTCACCATAGCCAAAAACATAGACAAAATACTAATAAAAAAAATTAAATAAGATAATACAGAAACCAGAGTTAACATACAGTCTACGCAAAAATACCATAACACAATCATTTTAAAAATACATATGCTCAAAATAACATCAGTAATTAATACAATTATTACCTCATTATTTTTTTTTGCAACTCCTCAAGGGAAAATTGTTCAAATTGAAACATCTATTTGCTGGTTACACACTATTGAAACCATTACGCAGTATGTTTTATTAATTCGAGTTTTAGGTTTTGCTGATCAGCATCAATTTCGTAATCAATGGAGAAAAGCATTCCTTTTTTCATCTATTTCACTGATCCGCAAATTAAAACTATATTACATTATCATAATGGTTTATTCACAGTTTAAAACTTCAAAGTCAACATGAAATCAAAATACTCTCTTAATACACATTCCTGGATTTATTCTGATTCATTGTGCATGTTGTTCACCATCCTATGGAAGCTTGTTTCCATCACAGGATAAAAAATAAAAAAATGTATTTCATAATTCAGACGTTTATCAAGAGAGTTTATATCTCTTGATTCAGACTTTTTTCTCGCAAAACATAATTGCAATATAAAAACTCAGTAATGTGAGATATAAACACATAATTGTGAGATATAAACATAATTATGAGATATAAACTCAGAATTCAGAGATATAAACATAATTGCAAGATAAACACTCAGAATTGTGAGATAAAAACTCAGAATTGAGATATAAACACATAGTTGCGAGATATAAACAATTGCGATATAAACTCAGAAATGTGAGATATAAACATAATTATGAGATATAAACTCAGAATTCTGAGATATAAACATAATTGTGATTTAAACTAAGACTTGTGAGAAATAAATTCAGAATTGTGAGATATTAACTTATAACTGAGATGTAAACTCAGAATTCTGAGATATAAACATAATTGCAAGATAAACACTCAGAATTGTGAGATAAAAGCTCAGAATTGAGATATAAACACATAATTGTGAGATATAAACATAATTGTGATTTAAACTAAGACTTGTGAGAAATAAATTCAGAATTGTGAGATATTAACTTATAACTGAGATGTAAACTCAGAATTCTGAGATATAAACATAATTGTGATTTAAACTAAGACTTGTGAGAAATAAATTCAGAATTGTGAGATATTAACTTATAACTGAGATGTAAACTCAGAATTGAAATATAAACTCAGAATTGTGAGATATAAACACAGAATTATGAGAGAAAAAAGTCAAAATTGCAAGATATAAAGATATAGAGTTTATATTTCACAATTCTGTCTTTTTTTTCTCGAATATAAATTCAGAATT